AGTGAAGCAGCACGAACAATCCTTCCTTTGCCTGCAAAAAATTCTAGCACCTGAACGGGCTGCTGCGGGTCCCAAGGCAGCTCAACACGGCTCATCCAAGATGCCATGATAACCAAAAAGATGAAGTCCTCAGTTTTAGTGGTGGACAAGACGGGTTGGTGATATTCACCTAGGGCTGCACAATACATTCGAACAAGCTTCAGCAGGCACACCCAACGTGCACATCCTTCGACATGCTAAATCCACATCCTTGTAGCTCAATTTCATGCCGCTCTCCCCAGGTCACCACTTGTCAAACAGGGCGCTGTGAGCCACAACAGCTCATTGATAGTTCCACCCTCTTCTGACAAGGGGTTGATAGCGTTCGATGAAGCACTCTAATCAATGGATCTTCAATCAGGAAAAATTGAGTGCAAACAAGCCAGGCTGTCCAGCCACTTGGACTCCAAACTTTGCCAAACACAACTGGCCACGGCGAAGAAGTGGCATTAATCCTGCCAGGAGAGGATAGAAGGAAAAGACCCGGAGGAGAGAAAGGGGCAGTCCTCCTGGAGCCAATGCTGACCACCTGGCAATTTGCATGAGTCCAAGTGATGGTTCCGTTTCACAGGACATCGATCTCACTGCTTCTTTCTTCGCTGCTTTCACCAATGCTCCAATCACTGATGACCTACAGTATCTAATCCAAAATGCGGATGCCCCTGGCCAGCCTTATGTAACACAAAACAACTCTTTTGGAAACCTTGACAGGTCATGACAGTCATGACCTTGTTGGAATAGAGTGCTAGCCTCTACGGGGAATCGACGCTGGAACTCACAATTGCTAAGGCTGCTAGACCAAAATGCCGGGATAGTCCCTGTGTAGAATCCCTTTCATGCTTAAAAGCATGGCCCCTGCACACAGGTTCCCTCAAGATCAGGCGCCAGACGGTGGACAAACTCCACTGATCACTTCCGTGCAGCACCTGTGGGAGGATGTCAGGAAACACATTTGTTGCCATAACCAGGCCATGACAAACCCAAACCTTTTGGGAAAACAATCCAAGGCATGCACACTTGGCAAAACCTATTCAGCAATGCCAAGAAACTGACATTCTCCTTCTGCAAGAACAGGCTGACCTGCTTCTCCGCAATCAGGCGCATCTCCTCATCGGTAGTCACTTCACCTTCAGCAAAAGCCGCACCGCATTGCTTAAAGAATGCATCCTGCACAAGATTTGCAAACATTGATGGATGATGGATTTGATGGATCTAAAGTTAAATCACTTTTAAACTTTGGACATTGCAATTGCTCCTGAAAGGCACTTTGCCGTCGAAGGAGCGGAGCAAGCCTCTCCTCAAACACATGCTTGATGGCATTGAACCGCATTGCCGGCAATGAAGCCTCAGGACAGTATCGCCCAGCGAAGGTCTGCGTTGGTCCCTTGACCTTCTTTGACTCCTCCACTTCCAGCTGCTTGCCCCTGCGCTTCTTGCCACCAATCTCCTGCGCAGGAACTGCCGAAACGCCGGTCTCCTGCACAGAAGGCTCATTCCGCTGCCGCTTGGGCTTGGAAGCATTCGCTTCTTCAGCAGGTTGGTCATTCTTGTCGGCTGCCTTATTTGGCCGCTCTTCCTCCTTGGCAGCCTTTCGCTTGGACTTCGACTTGGCCTCAGCCTTGGCTTTGGCCTTTGATTTTGCTGTGGCCTTGGCCTTGGCCTTGGCTGCCCTGGCCTTCGGTACTTTGGCCTTTGATGCTTTCTGTTCATGTGGCTGATCTTCTTCGTCAGAATTCCGATCACCCAGGTCTTTCTCCTCCTCAGCTTCCTCTTCCTCATCGCCAGCCGCCTTGCGGAAGTTGGCGTTCAACTGCTCACGACGCAGCAAGAGTGGAACCTACAGGGAGACTGGTGCCACAAAAACAATACCCCATTGGGACAAAAGATCACAAATCACAAAATCAATTTCTTTCAAGAAAGGAAGAGCCTTGGCATTCATCAGCTGGGCAACATCGATATCAACTGAGCGAGGATCCTGCACATTGCCCACGGGCTTTGAAGGCAGTGGCTGCTCCGGCACATTGCCCACAGGCTCTGAAGGTACAGGCTGCTCC